TATTAACTGTAGGGGAGGCCACAATCGAAGCCATCACACTAATAACATGTTTGGCTAAGCTTAAGAATGCACTTATGAATTTCTCATTATTGGAGAACGAGAATAGAGCCTGAAAGTCCTGGAAAATGAGATGTATATAAGACAAAATCTAGTAGTTCAAGTTCCTAGTTAGAGTGATTTAAGAGATGAATTGTGCTATAACCTATAAAGATTGTCAGGTTTGTGCTAAACCAATCTACTTTCATTTGTATTTTGGCTAAGGAGTTGAGCGTTTCACCTTTTCTTTCTAAATAGAGGGTTCTCCAATTTAAATACTTGCTTAGACCATGAAATAATATATTTTCACCAGTCGGAAGAGCATAATGTCAGAACAGAGGGAGGAAAACTCTTGTATACTTATGATGAGGACATCCATTTTGTTTATCTTCTAGTTGGACTCTTATTTATTTTTGGACTATTAATTATGTGGACTTGTATAATGTGCTCGGCCCTTTCTCTTTAGGGTTTCCTTTTAGGATTTTGTTTTGCTATTTAAATATAGTTTTTCATGTAATTGAAACAGTTGATGAATGAATAAATTGTTGGGTAGCTTGTGGCAAAATTTCTCTCCTTCTCCATCTTTCTTCTATTGATTCTTTTACTGTTCTTCCTTTAATCTCTTCTTCATAGATCTGTTTTTATTCGCCATTAATTATTCCAATTGGTGCTGGATCAACTTACCATTTGACTAAATGCAAAACTAATCAAGTTTCAGGACCAGATGTGTTTGTCTTAAATTTTACCTCACGGAAAGGTATATAAATTAACCAGTTTGAGAATGAAGCGAGGTCAAGATTTCTTGAGAAGTAGATTTGGGGAACTATCTAAAGTATCTTAATCCAATAAAAGAACCTTATAACAGCACCAAAATATGCTCTTCTTCACCTCTCTCTCTCTCTCTTTCAGGTTTTCTTCAAACCTGATATCCCCCCACACACCCTCATCCCATCCGACACCTAACTTATGCCATCTTCATTTTGGAAACTATCAGGTGCGGAAAATGCATATCTTTTAGTAAAAAGGTACATGGCCGTGAATGCATGATTGTGGCATCAGTGGATTCAAGATCGTAATTTCTAAGTTATTAAAGTTCATTGTTTATAGAATTCTAAAAGATGACAACCAACAGAAAATCATGTAATAAGGTATTTTATGAGGGTGGGCAGAAAGATGGTACGAAAATGCAGCCCTATCGAGTATCGAAGGTGTAGCAAAGCCTAGACTTTTACCAGCATTCTGGAATTTTGAATTTTAGAACCAGAGAATAGGTATTGAAGTTTTGACTCTTACCAGCTCTTTGTTTTGTCTAGTCATGTTCTGTGCTGCAAACCAAGACGTAGATAAGCTTCTATGCTAATATTGCATTCCCTACGACCCGGTTAACTAAGAGGAAAGGTTTTCAATAAATTTTTTGTTAATACAAGGTGGAGCTTGATTTGTATCATTTTAGGCGAATATTTTATACTGTTTTCTATCCAGGTTTCAAGGGATCCATCTTCTCGTCCTGTTTAGATGAAGCACCGGAGTACCATTGTGCTCTCTCTCTTCTGTCAACTGGTTCCTGGGGTTCATGTGTGCCTGAATCCATTATACCGTACAACCCTACCAATGAAAGTAGCACGAGTATGCATCAGCCTGTAATGCATGCAATCCCAGAAGGCTTGCCCCTCGCTTCTGCAGAATTTTGGCAGACTGGACAGCAGCCAACTCATCCTCGCATTCCTGCCTTGCCCCAAAATGGTACCTTTCAGGAAATGCAGCTCTTCAAAGCACCACCATACGGGGCAAATTTTTACTCAAATGTGCAGAACTGACCATTCAACTTTAGGGTATTCGGTCTTTGAGCTTTACAAAGTTTGATATTAAGGTTAGCGAATTCCTAAGTTTACTTCTTCCAAAACAATGCATTGCATCTTCGTCCAACTCACTATGTTAAGACTCTTTCTACAAGGGTTATTATTGTTTCAGTCACATTTGGCTAAGCTTAGAAATAAGTAGAAGTCACCTTTTTGTTTTTAACATTAGATAATTTAATTCTCTGAAACATATTGTTTTGTGCAGGTCATGCAGCATTATTTTGGAAGGATTATGATGTTTTTGGCCTCAATTACAGACTAAGACGGTGTGGTTAATATGTGAAGTGCACATTTTGAAACGACGTAATTGCCTAAATGTTTTCTTGCCATGACCACTGATTTTGCTATAGACATGCTAAAGCAAATACCACTTTATTCTAGTCATGGATTCATGTCCGCAGTACTATTATATATTCTCTGTTATCTATTAGGTGCTAGTAACCCTAATTACTGAAAGTAACCTTTTTCGAATTATGTAAAAAGAAGAAAATGTTTGGAAAGAGAAATGAGAATTCAGTGTGAAAATTTGAGTGAAATCTGGAAATAGTCGAAAACATTGCTCTTGTTTTTCTTGAATTGGAGTGGGATATTTCTTGTTGATGGTTGAGTGAATGAAGGGAATTTCTACCTCTTTTGTTTGACTGAATAAAGTTTG